ATATATATATATATATATATATATATATATATATATATATAGAGAGAGAGAGAGAGAGAGAGAGAGGTTAATGCAAAAACATAAATATTTTGCGAAAATACGAAAACAAATTTTATCTTATAAAAATCAAACACATGTACTTTAGAAATTAAATTTATTAGCAATAAATTAAAGATAATAAGTTTACATCGGAAGGTGTTATGGTAAAATAGATTTAAATGTGGTTTTAACAACCGTTTCTTTTTTTTCTTTTTCATGTCCTTAACCACTTTTAAATTCAAGTTTTCATAATAACAATGTCAAAAAACATGCGTTGCTAATATGAAACAATTTCTCATGTATCATCGATTATCGTCATGTAGTTCAAAGTTTGGATGAATACTTGTCCAAAGTATAAGGTTGAGGTGACACAATCTTATAGGTTTTTCTTGTTTTCGCAAATTATTTGCATTCTCGCAATATATATATATATATATATATATATATATATATATATATATATATATATCCACATTTTTACCATTTAATCTACACAAACTACAAACCTTTTAACCCAAAGGCTCCCAAACTCTTCCAACGCAATTGCACTCTTTGGTTATGACCCGTCATCACCACCACTTTACCGACCACAAAGCGATCCATCAATTTACTCTCAAAACCAAATGTTTGTAGGTGGTGTTCCTAGCTACTATTCATAACTCCAAATGTCTGAATAACAAGTTTTTCCACCAAATGTTAACCCATTGCCACAACAATTCCAATTCCAATTCCAATCCCAACCACCACGTACAACACCCCTAATCGAATCACAAACCCAATTCCAATTCCAATCCTAACCGCCTTCAATACCCTCAACTGAAAACCATTTCGATTTCGAACTCGAACAAGAAGCTTAACCAAAAAGAAAAGGGATGGCGAAAAGTAGAAGATGGAGTAAAAAAGAAGAGACAAAATTAGCAAATGCATGGGTCGACATATCGGAAGATAACGCCATTGGGAAGAACCAATTGCGTGATTAATTTTGGTTACGTGTTACGGAGCGGTTTTGTAGGGGTATGGGTCGAAGTCCAAATTATCGGACGCATGACCAATGTAACTCAAAATGGCCTAATACAAACAAAATCGTCATGCATCGGAACATAATTTACACAAACTTTGAAAAGCAATGGGCTAACAGTGAAAGTGAGGCGAGTTTGTTGAAAAAACGCACGCGACATTCCAATATGACATGCTAAAGCCTTTTAAATTCATGCATGTTTGGGATGTTATAAAAAAAAGTGTTAGGTGGAGGAAATTTGGAAACCATGAAGACATTTCCAATCATCCAAAAAGAAGCAAAACCTTTTCATATTCGAGCTCACAACACATTGAATGGTCACATCGGTGTTGATCTTAATGATGACAACGATGAAATTGAAGAAAGACAACCGCCTCATCCCATGGGAAGGGACAATGAAAAAGTTAGAAGAAAAAGAAAAGCGACATCTTTAAGTTCTTCAGTTGGTGGTCAACCAAATTCGAGAAAATGATGGCGCATATCGCACAATGAATACAACTTTGGAGAAACATATAACTGAAACTGTTCGAGTCACAGAATATTCATTGTTAATGCAAGACGTGAGACACCTCGACCCCGAAGATCGAGAAGTGGTTGAGGCGGTCAAAGTGTCGATTCGGGGTAAATATAATCTACAACGAAATGCAATTTTAATTTTATGTTTTTTATGTTTTCTAATGTAATTTTACATTCATTTTTGTAGGTTTTCTAATGTAATTTTAATTTCATGTTATTTTTTTAAAGTTTTCTAATGAAATTTATGTTTTATTTTAATTATGATGAATATTTTTTATTAAATGTTAACATTTTTTATTTTGAAAAAACAATGTTTATAGGCTGAAACATCACCACACCCTAGTCATAGACAAAAAATAACAAAAATGACAAACACTTATGTGGCGCCTATGTGACATATTTTTTTGGTAGGCAAAAACATCACCACACCCTTTAGCCTTAGTATTCAAGTAAGAACATTTAGAGTTTCAATACCGGTATAATTTGAATCAACGTGGGTGTGTGGCATGTCTTTTTTCTTTTATAATTTAATTAAAAATTAAGTTAAATGAAAATATAAAGATGTTAATGATATTTTTTCACGATTAATCATGAGATCATATATAATAAAGGTTTTACATCGACGTGATGGGTAAATGGGCAAGAAAATGCGCCGCTAACCTTTTTTGGATGATAAAACTAATTTTTTAAAAACCAAATCCATAGATCTTAGGGTCATAAAATTACTACGCATGACCTGTTGGACTCTATTGATGAGCTCCACAACATCTGACGCAAGAAAATGAAAAGTATCAAACGCGAAAAATATAAATGTGTGTTGATTTTTCATGCACACTTTATCATATTTTTCACTTTGCATGAGACAACTTTGAAAGCATCCTGCCATACTGTGAAAACCCCATTCCCCAAGCCCACGAGTGGAGAACCCCGATTAGATCTACACATATGTGTTTCCCTCATACCTATCTGGAAACTAAAACATGTATACGTGATAGTACACAAAATTGATTCTTAGTCTATCCGAAAATTGTATGTTTTCGAGATGTAGAGCATCCGAAGTTGAAGTATGTATGAGATTGTTTTGTATCCAAAGTTGTTTATGTTATGATATTTGAAGACTGGGTGATTCAATTGGTAATAATGTTTTGTCTCTATGTAATTTGTCTTATGTTCAGTAGCGCATGTAAGAGACAAAGGTCAACCACACCAATGTGTCAGGTGGTTGATATGTTATCTGCTTTTAGTACAATATTAATTAATTAATATGATTTCTCCTTTAATATATTATTCATATAATATATTAATAAACCATAATAACCTCTTTCTCCA